GTTTTACTACGGCAAATCGCGCAAACGAATTTTCATGCCCTTCTTAAGCTATAAGACAATTGAAAATTGGAAAGATATAAAATGGAAAAAAATTATGCAATGTTGTTGAATCAGTTTCTATTTTTTTAAAAAAAATTATATTTGTCAAGAGAACAATAGATAGTCATATAATGCCCATACTGTATTGTCAACTTGGTTGGAAGTGGGAAATTTAATATCAGACACATGACTAAAGAATCATATCACCCACATACACACCCACTATCAAAATCTATTGAATATTATATTAAATGATTTTTTATTTTTATAAATAAATATTATCACTTGTAAAGTCTTGTAAGGACATATTTTAACTCATTAAATAAGTGTTGGCCAAAAAAAAAAAATCTAAATAAGTGTATCTGATTGATTACATAATTTTGGAGAAAATAGGAAGATAATTTGTGAAATTCTAATTTAGTTAGGACATTTAACTATAAGTTCATATTTGGTAGATTAGTTTTTTTAATTTCTGAAAAAATTTAAAAGCTTGTAAAAAAAAACTAAGAAACTGGAAATATACAAAAAAGTTAAAAAAATGTATGCATAGATATTAATTATTATATATGTCCAAATCAAAGAATTTCAAAATGAAATATGATAGTGAGACTGGAGAGCAGAAAGTGATTTAGAGATTTTCAAATCCATCTTGTGGGTATGAAACAAAAGGCTTTAAAAGCCTTTTTTTTAAAAAAAAGAAAAAGAATAAAGAGGAACACGTTTTATTAGAGTTTAAGAGTTGACATCAATCAGTGCAGATACATGCAACTTGAAGGCTGTAGACCTGTGCTAGGGTAATCACATGGAAGACACAGCACATTGATACCAACTTGGAGGGTTTCAATTCATTAAATACTGATATTTACTATCATTCGTGATTTTCTTAAATCTTCAACTAGGTCCCACCCTTTTTAAATCTTCAACTAGCTTCAATACATTGATTTCTAAATGATGATATTTTTATTGAATTTTGTACCCAGCTTCAAAAAAAAAAAAATTACATATACATACATATATTTATGTTTAAAATTTAGTAATAATTACTGGAAAATTAAAAAGAAATTCCTTAAAAAATTTCTCAGTATCATTGGTCTTGAGATATAATATTATGCTTTTTTAGATTTTTTATTTTGATTTTCTGAGGACCTGGATCATTATATGATATTTTCTCTTGGTCTTAAAAGTAGTCATAACACTGTTGATGAAAAGTTGACATTGCTTTGTTCAAACTAAGGTTCTCTCTCAAGAAAGAAGAGTCAGGGGTGAGAGAGAGAGAGAGGAGAGAGAGAGAGAGAGAGACAATGGAATCAAAGTGTGATGATTGAAAGGGGAGAATATGTAAGCGACAAGATGATGATGGTGAGATTAGATAGCATTTTGCAGTTCAAGTACAATCAAGCAAATTGGGTGACCCCTACCTCTTCCAACAAAATAAAAAGTCAGTGATAATAAGAGCATCACTTTCAACAGCAATAAATAATTCTTCTGAGCTATGCCTTCCCCACCTTTACAAGTTGAATTTTTAGGATAAATTCCTATATTTAACAAAGCAAGTGTACTATTCAATCTCATCTTGTAACTTTGATGCTCAAACTCATTGAAAATTAGTTCTTGGTTTCTACATTTACTAAGAGCATGTGTTAGACATGTTTTAAATGAAATTTTATTAATTTTTTTTGTAGTTATACTCAGACCTTGTTGATGAAGAAAAACCATGTCGAGAAAGCTACTTTACATTGGGATTGGATATATTTGAATTTGAATTAGTTTACAGTATTTGATTCCAAATAATTATTACTCCCTCCGTCTCAAATTATAGGATATTTTTAAAGGAGTTTCTCCGTCCTAAAATATAAGACACTTTGAATAAATTAAGGTTTCATTAAATGTATCAATTTCAATAGTAACCTTTCTCTCTTTATAATAAATTTTTGTCCCTTTTCCTTTCAATATATTAAATGATGGTATTTTTAAAAGTTTATATTTTTGTTTTAAAAAAATAAAGTTGTTAAGTGTATTTAATGAGGTTTATTGATATGTGAAATTTTATCTAAAAGTGTCTTATAATTTGAGATGGAGGGAGTATGACAATAAATGCAAAAATACCAATCAAAGCTTGTCCAATTTAATGTTTTATATATTTCACCACTTAACCCGACGACTTCAATAGAGTTTTCTGTATCATTTGAATTTTATGATTTGCATGGGCATTTCTATTTTTTTTTTTGGGGAAGTGCCCTATGTTACAAGCAAGCAACATGAACCATTAGTGTCAACGATGGATAAGAACATGTTACCATCTCTCATTAATAATATCAAGAACTATTATGTTTGCATGGACATTTCATAATTTCTTAAAAAAAAAAAAAGATTTCCCCCCTTCTTATCTTTAGCGTAGTGTTGTTGTTCAGTTCACATGCATGATGCATCAGACAAACACATATTTGCACTGATAGTTTCTTCGCACGTCCTATTTTGACTCGTACAATAGATAGTCGTTTTCTTATAATAGAAGTTAACTCGTTACATTCATCATTTTGAATGACAATAATAAGAATCTCAAACTTTAATCTCGTGGTTCAGAGCAATGACTAATGAGGGGAAAAACATTCATGCCAGAATCTGCTTATTAACTCATCACCTTACTTTCCTATATTCATAGATAAAACAACGCATTAGGACTGAAGGTGCCTCATCATTAAAGAGATCTTTCAACCTCCTTCTTTATTAAACTATGAATATGTGTGTGTGTTTGTGTTTGATACCATGTCCAGCTTATCAAGATTTGCTTGTATACTCTTCTTTCATTTCAATTCAATACTATGAGAGATTTGTTTTCACTCTCCACTCATGCTCACACCCAATCTAATTTGTTCTAGCTGATAAGCCATAAGGTCTGACCCAACCAAAAAAAAAAAAAAATTGGTCGGTACAGCAAATTTATACTTTGGATGACTTTAAAGATAAATAAAACCGATAAAGTTTATATTCAGGTGCTACTATTCCTGGTGCATTTAGGACTGAGTCCAGCCAAACCGTCCAACTGAATAAATTTCATATTCTTAAAGTTGGAAGCACCTGGAAGTGGAAAGTAGAAAATGGAAAGAAGCATGAAGAAAAATAGATAGCAAAGTGGAGGCATCTACAGCAACATCATGAATTTATCCAGAATGTGAGTGACAAATCTGCATGATCTCTAAGGAAAACCTCATTACCAAATGACTTTTCAATGAAATTTTGTTCTGGTATACAACTCAACAGTTGATGCCGTTCAAATTTTATCTTTCCGGGAATTAATATATTGATCTTACACAATCTTTCCAGGAGCAAGAAGCCTACAGACTGAAAACAAATTCTGACTACTGGTCATATTTAAGGGCCAAAAAGGTGTTTTACTTGCTTACTATGTGCAAAAACATGCCAAGACGAACGATTTCATGCCTTCTTTTTTTTTTTTGGGGGGGGGTGATATTGTAATTCCCACTCAACAGTTCATATCTTATTTCTCGTTTTATTACTTGCTTTCTTTATTCCTTTTCAATACAGGAATGTGAATTAATATTCTAAGGGGACCACATTCCAGCATTGCATTGAGTCATCAGTCACCTTACAGATAACATGTGTCTATTCATGAGGTCCCATGACAAGATAACAACTTTGTTACATATTAACATAGTGTTTGATTATCTTTAATGTTGAAGGGACCCCCATTTGCATTCACTCACAGATTGACTAAACAAGAAGCATCCCACAAAACGGTCCCTCCCTTTTACTGCTGATCATGGGTTGGCGACTTGGATAACAAGGTTAAATTTTATAATTTTCCCCGTACAAACCTGAAAATAAATTTATCTATGGAAAAAAAGTCCCTAAACCCCAAATGCAGCTAGGGTCCAATCCACACACATTCAATTTCTATACCTTCAAGATAAGAGGGAAAAAAAACAGTGCAATGAGTTGTACAGGTTCAGTCTGATATAGACTAATCGATCAGTGGCTGTCACCATTATGAAAGTGGTGATCTTAATTCTTGATTCATAGTGATGATTGCAGTGTCATGATAGAACAGAGAACTGAGACCAATCCTATTTGAGAGAAAGGGGCAAATAAACATGACCCACCCAGTCTTTTCAAATGATGACCATCAAACATAACTATTAGTGAAAGAAAAAGTACTTAAGTAATATAAGAGCCATGGGACGCATTGTAAGGTGTGGGAAAGCAAGAAAGAAAGAAGATGACCTAATCAACTTGCATAACAGAATAAGTCACCGCCATCAAAAGTTGGCATTCTACAGTTATAAGTGCATCTTGACTTTTAACCTTTTCATTGTAATCTCTTCTTGTTTTTAAAATAATGAATGGCTTACATAAGTTCAATGATTACCCTTCTGGTAGTGTGCTTACGTGCATAGCAAAAAGAAACCTTACAAATAAACATAAAGCGGACCCCTTCACTTATCAGTCTTTCAGAAGTTAATTAATGTGACAGTAATAATGCATGACATGAAAAATACAATGGTTTCATATTTGGATAGACTTCAATAAAGAAGATTCATCTTTGTCTCCCTTGATCTTTCTGAAGTTAGCATTTGAACCAATCCCATTTCCACCGTCATAGCATTAAATGGCAGGTATATGTAATGTCATGATTCTATTCTTTATTTCCTTCCTTTTCTTCCCTTTTTTTGATTACTTTTGCTTGAGGCAATATTTTACAATGCCTAACAAATGCAGGAAAATGACTTGTATGAGCTAGGCATATCAAGTACGTAGTTAGCAGGAAGACACACTCTGCAAGCAAACAATAGTATCTAACATCTTGCATTGTTAGTTACAGCAACTTTCTGATATTAATACCTCTGCTTAACCTATATAAAAATGAGAAAGGAAAAACTGTAGAATAGAGATCTTAGAACGAGGATGCTCAAGTGTATGTAAGAGGATCCAGCAAAGAACACTTTCACAAAAATGGGAAATGAATAAAAGATAACGCTTAACGTTGAAGAATTCATGAAAATGATATTGACTAATTAGCATTTACATTAGACACTCAATAATAGTCAGTTTATGAGACGTATCACTATGTCATGTATTTAGAAAATGACAAGGACAGTTCTTGCAACCAGCTACCAGCCACTGTTTGGGGCCATCTCAATCCAGGGTAATATGGGCGCCAAACATATTTGATTGGCATCCTCCTCTTTAATATGCTAGTCCAGAATGCTAGCAATCATAAGGAATTGGAGAAATTCAATATCAAGGATCACTGAAGTGAAGCTTCATTTTTAAAGACCAAGGACGTGACTGCTTTAGATGGAGTTTTTTGGTCGACCGTTCTCACGGTGACGAGTATTCATTCACCGAACAGGTGAAATTTCACATAAATTGATCCACTTCCTCATTTTATTGCTGCGGTGAAAGAATGAGAAGATATATCATTGTGGCTTACCCATCCTGCCACCTACAGCATCAATGGTATTAGCTGCCCCACTCAGGGGTCCGTTGTTATTGCTGGCTGGAATCATTGTTTGACTATGTTGTACTGTCTGGGAGCCATAACTGAGTGCATTCATTGGCTGCATGCCCCAAATAACATGGTAACGAAGGAAATCAATGACAAAGGGTAAACCATGATCAAGATTGAAGGCGCAGGGGGAAATTTATTTGAGAAAAAAACATGATATTATTCACTTGAAAGGAATGAACACCTGAGAGGCACTTTGCATAAGATGATAGCCCATACAGCGTGCATATTGCTCAGAAAGAGCTGGATTTTGCATATGATTTTGGTAATTAAAGGGAGCCAGAACAGGAGCTTTGAATGTTACAGTCTGATTTGGTGCTCGAGACATGGATATGGATTGATCCACTCTTGGTATATTCATATGATTAGACAAAGAAGGTGTCGCCAATCCCATATCCATTTGAGACATGTAGTGCTGAATTCCTGGGATCATCACCGGGGTCATGCCAGCTCCCATCAACATCATCTAAAAGCAGGAGCAAAATTGATTAGTTATTCCCAATTTGAAGACCAGTTTCACAAGCAAGATCTTGCAGGGCAATTGTACCTGAAGCTGAAACTGAAGTGATTTCAAATATTCTATTGCCTCATCTAGCATTGATGCTTTGTCTGTCTGCAAATACAGCCATCATTCAGATTTTACACCATTATGATAGAACTTATGGAAAGTAGAATCATATAAAACTAGGGAAAATGGATAGAGCAATTTTTCCAATCGTACATTTTTAACATCTACTTTAGGGGGCAGGGGAGGGTCATTATCATACCTTGTGTCTGGTAAAAGGAAATTCTTACTTCCCAAGCTGATGGAAACTTATTTATATGATGTTTAAATATAATAATATGAAGGATTTGATATTTATGTGTTTTATGTGTCTTAAATATTATAGGGATGTTAATATATCACATGTACGTTTTCAAGGACTTGGGAAATTGGGCTATCCACTTGACAAACGCCAAGAATAAAAATTAGCAGAATTTTTCCCTCTCATTCTATCACTCCCTTTCTTTAAATGCATTTCATGCCTGGTTTACTTAGTTTACCACTTTCAATCCTGCAGTCTGTAAACTATAAATGCAGCAATTACTGACTCTCAGTGAATGCATCTCTATTAATAATGGGACCAAGAATGTAACTGCATCATGTAAGTCAACCTTGTTACTGTGAGGTATGAGTTGTTGCAACGCCCTCATCTTCTCGTTGATCCTGTCTCTCCGTCTCTGCATCAGCAAAGAAGTTCTGATATAAGTAAAAGTTCCCATAATTTCAATTGATTAGAGGAAGTCCATGTCCTCACCCTTTCTGAGAGATTATGCACTTCAGCAGCACGGTTCCTTCGGGAAGACCCTGTTCGCTGAGCTGCCCTCTTTCTAGCTACTGATTTGAGTTCTGTGGTCTAGTATATGTACATACAATGCTCAGTGGGAGAACCAACAAACAAACATTTAATGACAGGGACAAATGAAGAAAGAGATAGCACTTTACCTCACTTTGTTTCTCTAACTCTTCAGCATCTGTCCCTTTACTTTTCTGGCTATGGATACTAGTAGACTGGCAACAAGTTTTTTCAAGACTACTACCTGAGCCACCAGAAGATGAAGTGACAGTTGGTTCATGTGTTTCTGATTTCCCTTTTTCACCCATAGGAAATGTTCTCCGAACATTATCCCTGAAGACAGAAGGCTCTGCTAACAAATTAGTAGTCCAAAAACCTTTGCTTGAAATCCTGCTCACATCTCGGTCTCGAGGAATTTGATTGCTGCCACAATGACTTGAACCGGCTGTCATCACTGAGCCCTCTCCAGCCTCATTTTGCAACATATTACCTGTACCTTTTTCTCCATGTTGTGCAATAGAAGATGTTGAAGCAACCTTAGGAACTGCTGTAAACTCAGAAAAATTGAGGACTTTTGGTGAACCATAAAACTCAACGTTTTTCTGAGATGAATCAGGAAAAAATCTAGGAGAAAGGATAGGATTTCCTGGGAATTTCTGAACAGAGGGCAGTTTCATAGTAGAAGGTTGTGAAGTTGCAGTCAGATGAGAGGCACCATCGGTAGTGAATTTGGCAAACTTCTCTTCCTCAAACCACTTATTAGGCTTATCAGGTTCAATCTCACTGGATCGAAGTTCAGGTAAAAAGTCTGAACATAATTCTTGTTCCAGTGGATCTTCCAGTGGGAATTGGATCCATGAGACTGTCTCATCTTCTTGAAACAAATTACTCGAGTTCCCATATGATCCACTAGTCTTCAATGCTGATTGATCATTATTCTGCACCCGCCTTGAGTTTACAGAATTCAAAACTGGTTTCTTATGTGTTTGGCTTTGGCTATTCAAAACTACCTGTCCTTTTGGCCATAGGAGCTCTACAAGTTCTTGATCTGGTCTGTTGAATTTATCACAGGTTAATTATTAAAAAAAAAAAAAGTTAGACGGGACAAGAACAGTTTCCATCTTTTATAGAGATAGATTGAACACACCCCATGGGATTCTTTTGATAGGTGAAACTGCTATTACTCTGAAAATTACAAGCAGGAACACTATTGTTCATGGCTAATCAAATCAGTTGTCTGCAACAAAAGAAAGAAGATCAGTTCAGATTTGGTCATCCCATTAACTAACAGCCTTTACAAGCAGAATAAAATAAGATGTACTTGAAACTAATCAAATAATTAAATAAGCATATAACCAATTTAATAGCGAACAAAGAATTAAAATAATGTATCTATATCATCATGAATGGAACTTTACCAGTAGAGGAGACAGAAAATCAAGTTTAAATAAAAAAGAAAGGAAGAACACCCGAATTGTTCATGTCATGATATGACAATTATTTTTTAATAAAGAATGGCATTCTATGACAAGTAAACAAAGCTAAAGCATCACAAGTTCAAACTTCCAGAGAGGAACATGCAAATGACTCACATGCCGGATTTGGCAAAGAAAAAAAGAGAAGTGAAAAACCAAGAACTGGGGAAGTACAGAAAACAAAAAGGGCAAATACGAGAAGCAGCAAACAGAAAAAGCTGTTGTAACACAAGGAATGATTCCCTGTTGCTGAAAACATGAACGCAGAAAATAAGATCATTCTTTTAGAGCAACGAAGAAAGAAACCCGAAGAAGTGCAGTAAAATAATCCGCCTGAGCTATGGAAGTTTTCAGAATGCTTAGACAGGAAGTTAAAGCCACAAACTGAAGCGCCCCTCTCTCTCTCACACACTCTATGCACATTTATATATGCATATAAATGAACAAATGATTGTTTGAACGGAAGCGTGAGGACAGAGAATGAAGCAGAGTTTTTCAATTTCCACAGCAACAATGAGAGTGACAGCACAAAGGAGAGAGAGTAGAGTAGAGAGAGAGAGAGATAGAGAGACAGAGAGATAAAATTCCATGGTAACATTGCCGGGGAATCTGAAGGGAGAAAAACGTACGTGGCTGTGCTGAAGTGGCGTATCGACACAGATCACAGAATTTCAGTGTGTAAAAAAGGGTATCGGTTCCCTGCTGGACGAGCACCATTGCACCAAGACCATTTTTTAAATATTATTATATATTATATTTATTAAGATAAATTTATAAAAATTAAAAATAATTTGAATAATTTTTTTATTTTAATCTGATTTAATTTTAAAGGTTTAATTTAATATTAAAATATTTATAATTATTATACTATGCATAAGCGAATATAACAATTTTAAAGATTTTAATCTAAATTGAATCCTTAAAATTAAATTTAGATCAGATTAAAAATAAAAAATTATTAAAATATTTTATAATTTTTATAAATTTTTATTTTAATAAATATAAAATAAAAATATATAATAATACTTTAAAGATGAACCATCCAAATTCAAATCTCATCACATAATGCTCATTAGTGGCGGAGCCACGTACATGTGAGGGAGGCAAATGCACCCTCTCGCATGAGAAAAATTGTATATGTAATATGAAAATTTACAACCTTACACCCTATATTTTAAATTTTGAACTCTTAGACTTAATAAAAAAATATTTGGGGGTCTAAATTTAAATTTATATCAACCTTCTTAGCATATTTTTGGTAAAAAAATTTCAATATATTTTGCCCAAATAAAAATATGTATAATTTTATTTTATGTTATTTATTTTTACTTAATGTAATTAATTTTAAAAAATTAAAAATATATTTTTTATTTATTTATTTTTAAATTTTATTATCCTGAATCCCCTAACTCAGAGTTTGTTTTGACACTGCCATTGATGCTCATCCCTGTGATAAGCACGGACTGGGTTGCAAAAATGAGGGCTCAATTTATTTTTTACCATGAAAAGGGAGGTCAATTTAGGCCCTTAAAAATTTATGAATTAAATTGATTATAAATTAATACAGAAATGTCGACATATTTGTGAATCCAACTTTTTTTTTTTTAAGAAAAAAACAATTCGAGCACAACTTTCAACTTTATGAAACAAGAAAATTATTTTGACGTTTTATCAATAGATATTTAAAAAATTTCATTGTAAAAAACTAAGCCTTTACTTTAAAAAAAATTATATATTTATCCTTACAAGTATAAAGTGCTTTGTTTTTAATTAATAAGATATGCAAAAAATTTTATATTATTATTTTATATAAAAATTTTGTTTTTAGATGCCTATCGGACTGTCGTTAATAATAACAATTTCATATATCAGAGTTTAAGTTAGTCTAAATAAAAGGTAGCAGTATTCCTAGATTTGTTGCATTTCCATCAACTTTTGAAGGATAATATTTATTCATCTTCTATTTTTTAATCAAAATTTTAATTTGTTTATATAAAAAGTTAAATAAAAATTGATCATAGTGTATAAAGATAATAATAGCAATAAAATATTCTTATTTGGCTGGAATATTGTGGCAATAATAGCGTTAGCGGGTGAGGATGGTCTGGAAAAGGAGAAGCAAGCAAATCTAAACATGGATGCTCACAAGGTGGCTGCAATCTGAAACCAAGCGCGGGCGATGACACGTGGCAGTGCAAATCTGTATTTCATTGGCCAATGATAAGGGTCAACATAAGGGACTGTGAGATTGGTGTAAGCTGAACATAAATTAATTACATTATTTATGATTTATTAACAGTAGGTTATTGTATAAATTTAAATTATACATTTACATTTACACATATAGATGTATTCCATTTACTACTCCTTAATAATAATACTATCAGAAAAGTTAACTAACTTTAGTTATTGAGAAATGATAATTACTTTTTTAATTTTATTTTATAATTACTTTCAGTATATTTTATTAGAATTAAAAAAAATTTTAAGTGTCATTAATTTTATTTTAAAATTTAACAAGTTTTTACGTTTACATCTAATAAATATTTTAAATATTATTATTAATATTTTTATTTAAAGAATTTAATAAGAGCAAAAATATAAAAGAAGTATTAAAAATTAGCAAATGTCTTATAAATAGAATTAATTTTTCTCTCTCTCCGTCTTTTACCAGAGGAGTATATAATTAAAATTGTTAAAAAATATGTAATTTTTTAATTTTTTTCATTTTTTGTAATTAATAATTGTAATAAATTATTTTTTTAGAAATTCAAACAATAATAAATAAATAAAGGTAAAATTGAAAAATATTAATTACTGTAACTTTACTTTCTATTGAGAACTAATTTTTTTTTTTAAGTTTCCCTTATATTAAAGAGATTCTTTGATAAAGTTTATTGTTATTTATATTATATGAAATTTGAAAAAAAAAAATCTTTCCCATGTCATTACGATTTTATTACATAAATTGATATATTAATATTATTATTATTTAATACTTTCGCTAGGGAGTGTTAAAGCAAGTGTGAGTATATGATATTATTATGGATATAAAAATAAAGGTGTTATATAATGCGGGAATGGCCTGATCCATTCGCATACATTGCTGTATGGGAAACTAATGCTTTTTTACATTAATTCTAAAGATTACATATAATGGAATTAACATTTTTAAACTTCCTTTTTTAATTAAGTTGCAAAATGATTTTTTTTAAATGTATTCTTTCACAAATAAAATATCTCAAATTTAATCTTGAAAAATAACTTTTCCAGCTCAAGATGATGCTTTTAGATAGCATTTATGAACCGAAGAGTTTAGTTCAATTGTCAAAAGAGAGTTAAGTCAACTTATCCAGCGATAATGAGTTCAAATTCTATAATAACCAATTGAGTTATATAAATATATCAAAGACATTCATAAAGTATTTGTGAAATTGTTATTGATAATAATGATCCCACATACGAAATTTGGATTAATTCAAATGGGAGGTAGTAATATTCATAAGTATTTTAGAATATCAAATATATATTTAATATAAATAAAATTAAAAATTTATTAAATTTTTAAAAAGAATTAATAATATTTAAAGTTTTCTTTGATGTTAGTGAAATATATTAAAAATAATTTATAAATAAAAAATTGAAATAATTTAAGATAAAGAGAATACTTTTTTAGCCTTTCATAAAGCAAGTTATTGACTTTTTATTATAAGTTTTTCTTTTTACCTCCATTAAATATTGGTAAGAAAAAATTTATTATTAAATATGTAAGGGTAAAATTAAAAACCTATTAATTTTTTTTAAAAATAATGAGTTTTAACATTTTTCTATAAAATATATTAAAAATAATTTATAAATAGCACCATCACTGGCTATGTGAGCTGTTTTTTTTTTTTTTTTTAAAAATCAATAAAGCTACTAAATTGAGTTGAGTCTTCATTTTAGAAAAACCAGTTGACCAAAGTTTTTTTTTTTTTACTAAAAAGACAATTATATTAACAAATAAAAAGAAAAAGTAGCTACAAAGTGAATATTAAAACAGAAATAGCAAAACTACCATGAAAAATAAAGGTGAGAAGAAAAGCATTTGTTGAGGAGGGAGACTAAATTGACAAGAAAGTGATCTTCCAAAAAGAAAGTAGACCTTATAATAATGCAATTCCTTAAAAGCAAAGCCACGTACACTTCTGCGAAATAATGCAACTGCCTTTTTCTCTATTTCTACACTGCTTATATGTTCACAGATACTTTTGAGGTTTATTTTATGTCCCCAACTCAGCCGACTTTCTGGTTTGGCTAACGTTACAATATTTCAGAGTTTTTCAACAGGAAAACCGATAACAGGCTCAGTCTTTGAGGCCATACTTCTCAGCTCAGCCACTTCATCATCATTTAGCCTCCAACCAAGTGCACCAACGAATTCCTTAGCTTGTTCTGCAGTTTTAGCTCCTGGAATAGGCACAACATTGCTTGTGCTACAAGCCAGTTCAAGACTACCTGACAGGGAAGTATGAGATTTTAGTCAATTCTAAAATCAATTCGATAAATATGTAAGCATACATGAAAAGATAAAATTTGTAATAAATATATATAAGAAAAGGTGGACATGGTTTCTATTAAGAAGATGGTAGAAAAACATTTGAGATATTTTCGACGTGTACAAAGTGAAACATATATTTTTGAGTAATATCAAGAGAGATAAAGGAAGACTAAAGAAAACAGTCAAAAAGGGTGTTGAACATGATTGTTCAGTTAACAACATATCAAAGGCGTAGTTGTTGATAGAACTAATGACATAGTGGAATCCATCCATGTAGCTGATCCCATCAAGTATGACAAAGTTTTTTGTTGTTGTTGTGGTAGTAGTAGCCCTAGAAAAGAGACTATTAAGAATACCAAAATTTTTTACCAGACGGAATTCAATGGATTGAAGAGAAAAAATAGGAGTTAGGCCCAGATTTGGATCCAATGAGGGGCCAAGACTTATAAAATGGTAAGAGTTGAAATAAAGTTTTTATATTTCAATTTATTTAGATAATTTTTCCTCAACCCGGATAATCTCGCTTAAGCACTGCAACAATACAAGCATGATTTCGATCTCAGCTCCATACAGTATTTTATCCTTGAAAGAAGGGCTAGTATCATATTACTATCATGAATGAGTAAAATTGGAACGAAACCATATTCTCGGTATTTAGTGATAGACAATATATACAGAGACCAAAAGGTATGTCAACAGATATAGCTTTCCTCTGTTAAATAATTAGAGATATGCCTTAAGTTTTTAGCAAGAGGGGATCTATAACCTCTATATATTGAGGTAAATTTGACCTTCCTTTAATTTTATGCCCAGAATTGTGATCAGTTTAACTACACCAATATATTAAATGTTCAAATTATAAATGAACCTGTGTATTTGTTTTATCATACTTCTTCCTATCTCTCTGATTTTGTTCAGCAAAGGTTGCAGCTGCAAAAAAAAATCGCAATTGAGGAAAGAAGCAAGATGACTAGAAGTATTAGATCTGCAAAATTACTAATGCAATGTTTGGTATGTAGAAAAATGT